TTATTTTCTGTCTCCATAGTTCTACTTCCTCTGATACTTCATTGCTGAAATAACTTCCATAGGACCTGACTTACTTGAAAGCTATTTTAAAGAAATGAATAGGAAGTATATATACAACTTTCTAATCATTTGTCTAAAAGCCTGAAGAAAGCAGTTACTTAATGTCTGTGCCTTAAGGATCCGAAGTTAAGACACAAAGGAGTCTTAAAACTGTTCTGAATACAAAGATGCACTGGCTCTGCAGGGGACCACTGACAGTGCTGGTTGTGTTATTATTTTGATATCTTACCTGTTTGACTTTGCACTTTTTAGTTAGATGTGATCAAAGGAAATGGTGGAGTTGAGAGTTAAGAAATAGCTAAAATCCTGTTTGTGGCTGGAAAAGGCCTACTTTCTCTCCATTTTACTCCTAAACCTGCCAAGCCTTGTTCACTTTGGCTTTATTTTTAAAATGCATTTCTGGTGAGTGAGGAAAGGTTTTGTACTGTGTTTTCAATGACTCACCCAAAATAACTCTATTGAACTTGTAAAGGGTCCTGTTCTGAATGTAGATTTTGTTTGTTCTGCAGTGGGCATGAAGTAGCTGCAGAAAAGAGATTAGAGATGGGAAATGTAGGAGAACTAGTATAGTTCATATTTATTCAGGATCAGGTGAATGTCAAAGAACTGATTTTCTTTAAAAATAAGTGTGTGTGTGTGTGTGTGTGTGTGTGTGTGTGTGTGTATTCAGTGAACATGCTCATGTGTGTTCACGTGTAAAACGACCATTATTAACACTGTCCTCATAACAGCTTTTCAAACATATCAGTATTAGACTGATATGTGGTATTCCAGGCACTAACATTTTTTTCTTTACTTTTTATAAAAGGTACAAAGAAAGTTTTATATAGAAATACATAATTCTAAATCTATATATATTACAATTTTATAGGTCTAAATAAAAATACAAGTGTTTGGAAATAATCAAGTTAGAAAGAAAATGTGTATAAAAACATCACATTCAGGACAATGTTAATACTTGGGAACTTAAAAGACATTATCCTGTTTTGTTTTTGTTTTTCTTTCTATTTTTTAAAAAATTAGAAACAAGACTGTTTTACATGTCAATCCCAGTTCCCTGTCCCTCCCTTCCTCCCCTACCCCCCAGTAATACCCTATTCATACCCTTTCTACTCCCCAGGAAGGGTGAGGCCTTATATGGGGGAATCTTTAGAGTCTGTCATATTCTTTGGAGCAGGACCTAGGCCCTCCCCGGCTGTTTTGTTATACACTGGCGAAAAAAAACAGTCTTATCATCAGCAAGTACCAGCATAGAGTGAGCATTTGATATAGATCCATATACCTTGCATGATTCAAGATGGCTGAAATCTTCAAAAGTAACATTTTAGGGCAAGACTGAGAAGAAAAAGAACAGAGATGAATCCAAACATGAGAATCTAGGTTTCACAGATGAATTTAAAATATTTTGGCTTTCCCATACATCCAGTAAGGAGATTCCAAAGCCTCCTTTGCACTCGTTTATGAACTCACAAACCAAGACAAATGGAGTTTATTTGTTCTCTTACATAATCTTTCTTCTCTATTTTGGATAAAGAATAGATGGCATTATGATCTGTTGCTCAGAAACAGGAGAGAACTGAGTCAGTGGGGAAAAAATAAGCTGGCTACAAATTCACTGTGGAAAGGGTACATTTACTATTCTACAAACATGAAATTGTGACCTGAGAACAAGTGATAAAACTCACAAGCCCCCAATATGTATAACATCAAAAATATACTACTTGACTGTTGAATAAATAAGCTGTAAGGCAGTTTTTAAGTGGTATTTACACCTTTCCATCTGATGTGTACTTGATAAAAATGGGAAATAAAAAATGGTAGATGATTGTGCTATAATATATAAGAAAAGGAATCCAATAATTACTATTTTTTTACTAGTTTGGGAAGTCTAATAACAGGTTTGAGCTGTATACCTTGCAAAATTTTTCTCTAAAATATGTACAATAATTAGGATTACTGAAACAAAATATATTTTAATGATTAATAATAGCTTATTGGGATAGATCAAGAATTGACCAAAGTCAGACTATCTTTCAGCAGAGTTCATTTACTATACTTGTTTTATAAATAAATCATTGGGTATTTCAATTCTCTTTTTTTTATATTTGGGAATTTCCCCCTGCTATCACTGGAAATGCTAATCGATTTTGAGAGACCCACAAGGTTTTCTTCTGAGAGGAATTTTAGGACTATTGAGCTAACCCAAATTGTCATGTTTATTTAGAATAAACCTTGAAGGTGCTCCCTTTGTGCAGTAGGTACTACATCAGTCTCACATAAAATGTGTTTTAAGGATTTACCAGGCCTTTAATGTGACATTGGGCCAGAATAGAAGAAAGTGGATAATATAGTAACACAGTATGTAGTGTTACCACCAAAAAAGAGAAAAATTATTTGATGTAACAGTTCTGACCATTCTCAGATAAGATTTTGAATAAAATTTTGACTTCATAGATATAAATGAAATGGTATCTTAACTAGAATCAAAAGGCTTCAATGTAACTGGTGCCAAACTAAATCTTGTTTTCTAATTTGAGGCTTGTGTTAAAAAATTTTACATGATATTACATATCACTATAGAAACTTTTCCACCTAAAATTTTGTTATTTAACCGAAGTATGATTTTTGTTCTAGCTTGAACTTGCTATAATTTTTAAAAAAATCTTCATAAAAATACAAATAGAAGCTATTCGTTGGTATTAAGAGTAATTTCCTCCATATGAAATTGACTTATTTTTGTCTCTTGCAACATAATAAATGCAATAGCCCTATGAGCATCTACTTAGTTTTGTGTAACCATCACACTAACTTGGGAAGGTAGCTATGATTGCAATTTCACATATGAAGAAAATGATATTCAGAGAGAAGGAAAACATTCAACTTTAGTCTGATACCAAAGGCCTTCCCCTTTCTACTCTATGTTGTCAGTTGACATTGTCCATATTAATATAACTGCATTTCTCTTCTTCATAATCATGAATGACTTAGACAATATTCTTAATGTAGAACATTAGCAATGCAGATTATGCAACTGGTCTAGCCTAGGGTATTTGTCTGGAAAACAGCCAAATGCCTAGACTCTCCTCAGGTTTAGCATTCATTATTGAATACATCAAATACCTTGGGCATTAAAAATAGCCTCAGAGCTGACCACACAAATGTCTTTGTTTTTAAGGTATTAGCATGCTGTCTGATGGATTTTCCTCTGAAGGAAATATACATATTTCATTCTCCATTAGGTTTTGCAATGTTAAATAAAATTTTGTGCTACTGCAGATTCAATAATTGCTATATTCTATTCTAATGATACTTCCTGGGCTTACTCCATTTCCCCATTTGATTGTGGTTGAATAACTTGTAAATATAAGCTATACTTTACTTTTGCCTTTCCCAAGAATTCTTTACTAAAAACGCAGACAAAACTAATTAAAAATTAATGCTCATCGCAGAAAAAAACACAAAGCAGACATATCACTATTTTGTCTCCTTTGAAGAAGAAGAATAATAAAAATTAGACAACTTAAGTCAAGTAACCAGCATTCCATGCAAAGTATTGTATTATGAATATTAAAATATGTTCTCTAATGTTTACAATGTGGCTGGTAAACTAAACATATTGTCTGGATCCTGTTATATTATTTGCTGCATAATTCAGTGCCCCCCCCAAAATAGTGAGTAGATTTGTATATCAAGGAACTGTTAGCGGATTATGATCATAACTGGTGGAACAACAGAGTGAAGAAATCCTGAATCAGCTGGTCTGTCCATTCAGGTATTAGGCAGAATAGGAATGAATTAAAAGACAAGAAAAAAGAGCCAACAATAGCACATGGCTAAGACAGAATTGAAGCTGGAGACAGCAGATGGATGGGACAGGATGGGAACCATTAAGGTTCTGGATAAACTATGAGACAGTGTACTTTGCAGCATTTGACCAAGCCCACCAACAGTTATCTAGGCACCTCCTTTTCTCTGTCTCTTCTTTCCACAGGCAGCTGCTTTGGAAAAAACTTTTTTTGAAAAAAAAGAGTTAGCTTCACCCTTAATAAAATAATGATGTATTGTGAACTATCCAATGTAAGGACCATGCTAGAAAGAAGATAGGAAAGAGCAAAGACAAGAAGGTCAATCCGTATTTTAAAAGCATATGGCTTGGGTGTAAGTGCATGCACAGAAAACTAGATACCATTCTACCTCAAGAACATTTTACATTCTAAAATTTTCACAAGTTATTTCCTTTGGTTAGTAGTGTATATTTAAATTGAAATTTTATTAACTGTCAATGTCTATTTCAAGTGGAAATGTTCTTTCTTAAAATATTATTTATGTAAAAATGTTCTTTTTAGTAAAGCTAAGGACAAAACAGAAAGTATTCTGTTTTCAGAGTTCAGCCATGCACAATAAAATGTTATTTCTACTTTAGATGTAACATTAGAGAGGATGTCCTTGTTTGATACGTTATACTTTGTCTCATTCTGGATAGAAATTGAGTCTTTTTTCTCATAAGAGATAAAAATATGATAAAGGCGGATGCTGAGGCTCATTTAAAAGATATTTCAGATCCTTGGCACTATCAGCTTATTGTCACATCCCCTAGCCCCCAAACCCAAGCAGTTATCTATAGTTATCTCTACATTTCGCGGGTCATTTCTTGCTCCATCCCCTCCCTTTTGTGTCAGCAGCTTTAATGTGTTATATTCAATCTTTCTCAGTACATTTTCATAGCTCGCACAGCCAGGACACACATTTCTCAAGCGTGCATGCAGCACCAGGGGAAGCTTTTACAGTTAGACGGTACAGTCCCCTGCTTCTTTCATCCTTGCCCAACCAACCCCTCAGCCATCCCACACAGAAGCAATGCCTCAAAGAATAGGTCTCAGGAGCCCAGTCACTTGTTTGCACTCGGGGGCGTTTTAGGAGACTTGGTCTTGGCACTTTACCTCTATTTCTGGATGAGCGAGGAGTTGGGAGAAGGAAAAGCTATGAGCAAACAAACAAACAAATCAGGCTCTTTCCTGGGGCAACCGCGAAGGGGCGGGTCCGCTCGGGCCTGTCAGGCCAAGCCCCGCCCTGGCTCGCCCTCTCTGCCTCCAGCCAGCCAGCCACCGGAAGGGGGCGTGGCCTCCTCCGTGGGCGGGGCGCACAGCTGCGAGGGGCTGGACTGTGTCTGGCGTGGGGCGTGGCTAGGAAGGGGGCAGGACGGGGTCTTGGAGTGGGCGGGGTTAGGCCGGCCCGGCGCTC